GGAAAAAAAGGAATTATTTATTTTGCATCTACTAAATTATTTAAAGACTGTAAATGATAATGTACATATGAAAATAAATCTTTCACACTCTTTCATAAAATATTTATTTTACCATCGATACGTAATAGCATAAAAAATATTTTCTTCATGAGTAAGCAACTAACCTATGAATTCTTTCAGAATGTAGAGAGGTTAAGTTAGAAATTTATATAAATACTGTCCCAACATAGATGCGTGAAACAATGAAAATCGATATACAATATTATTATATCATGTATAAAGGAATGTATATCCATAAACAAGTGTTTTAACATTACAATACTTCTCCCAAAACACGTTTCCGGTTTCGAACATCGATTCTATCGACATGTGGATCTTGAAACCGGTTCTTCAAGGTCGATGAAGACCCGTCAGTACTACACTACTGCATTTCCAGTTGTGGTGAAGCGTTTACCATACTACTTAAGAAGCGTGTATTACTTCGACGATCGACCTACATATCTAAAAGTATGTAAATTGTGTTTCACGAATAATCGAAAGTATTACCTGAAAACCGGTTATTACATCATAAGTTTTTCTCTCGATAAATTTGGCTTCCTTTTGAAAAAATTTTTTAATATATATTTATTTAAATTTATTGTATTATTATTAATATATGAAGCTCAGTTAGATATGTGATCTTTGCCAAAATAAATTGAAATTGTTAAATAAATAAGAATCAATTAATTTTTTATATCAATTCATTTCCAATTCATATATGAAATATATCAATATGTTTAATATTGTTATTTAAGATATATTTAATTTCTAAAAAATAGAAGTAACACAATAATATTTTCCATTTTTAACTACGATATAATTGCAAAGAAAATTGAAATTCTATTAAAATCATAAACAAAGAAAAAATATGAAAATATAAAAATTAAGAAAATAATAACATCTCCGGCTATGCATAATTTAATTATAAGTATCCTTTTATTCTCGACTGCATCATAATAAGATGCGGGAATAAAAGAAAGTATCCATAAGAAAAGGATCCGTCCTGTTTACGAGGAGAATCTTGTGTACCGTGTGACCTTGTCCTATCCTTGAAACACTACTATGTTCTGAGGAGTTGACAGAATAGAGGAACTCGGCTCCTATTGGTTACTTATATATTGGCACGCCACACACCGATGAACCAATGTCGCCACTCGTCTGTAAGTGTTGTCTACTAGTGGTAATGCGAACGTGTATTCCTACTCTTCTCTTATATTCTGGTCTTTGTTCAAAAAATGCTAACTAGTAAAATTTCGCAGCTGTATATTTTATATTTATAGTTCAAAACGATTGTTCCTTGGAAATTATAAATTATAAGAGTTTATGTGTTCAATTGTTAAGAATTGCTTTTATACGGAATACTTTGTTTGTATATGTCTGTAAAAGTAAAATTAACTTTTCTAAAAAAAGCATTCTTTGTAAGCATAGAAATTAAATTGAAAAAGTTTATTGTATAGAAGCTTTTGTATAGAATAGATAATGTAATTAAATTTTGTTTTCTTATTTAAAGATTATGATTAAGAAGAAATTAAGAGAATTAAAAAATTTGCAAAAAACAAAAATATAAAAAAAATAATTCGAAAATGTACAAAAATTAAAATTTTCTAAATTTTTATAAATTTTACTTTTGGATTATAAAATTAAATAACGAAACATTGATGTTATAATTTCACAATTTTTCAATTATTATTTATTAACTAAATAAGTATTATTTATATACTTATATATTACTTTTAATTTACAAATTTATAATAATTAAAAAATAATTAAAAATTAATAAAAAAAAATTAACAGTTACATATATATTTTTTTTTAAAATTTATAGCATAATATCGATTTTGTCTAAAGAATGTTTTAAAATTATCATAAACTTCAAAAGATTCACAATATTTTATACAATAATGATGTTTAAGTTGAATATTAAAACTTTTTGATTATGTAAAATGTTTCGTATAATAATTTATAATTACGAATTTAAAATTTAATTTCAACCAATTTGATCTATCAATGACCTACATATCTTGCATAAAAAAAAAAAAAGAAGAGAAAAAGGATGAACTATAACGAGCACTAGCTACGACTAATTTTCTAACAGCGAATAAAGTTTGCTGGATTATCACATACGAGATCCGTAGAACTAATGTCAACTAGGTCAGTAATCTAACTCTGAAAATGTATGGTTCAATATTTAAAATAGAATTACATAGAAAATAGAATACATATTGCCAAATGATGATACAAATAATTTGCCATATTTTCTGAAATCAGTAGATATATATAATACAATAAATAATAAAATATTTTTAGATTATCTTCATTAATGATTTTAAAATTTGATTTTGATAAAAATTTTAAATGTTTGTAAATTGATTCTGATTAATTATTTAATTTCTTGAAATTAATGAAATAATCATCAATCTAAATATCTTCATGATATAATTTCTTTTATTTTTATTCTGATTTCAAGTATTTGAACGATTAAAAGCTTTTAAGTTAAATATTCATTTATTCGAAATAAAGAATTAAATTAAAATTAAAATATTTAAATATCTTTGCAAATTTTTCTTCAAATACTAAGAACATAAATATATAACCTAATAAAACATAGAGAATAATGTTTATCATTTTTGTGATTTTTAAATAGAATGTACTTTTTGTTCTTTGCATGCTGCAGAGAACATCAAGATAAGTTTTTCACCTTCATTGATATACATGGCTTTGAAATGTACATACACAAAAGAATTCTATTTTAAAATTCCTACATACGGTAAGTATACGATAAACGTGAATTACGTGAGCGATAGTGTCTAGATACACATGACAAATTAATCGATTTATATTTTTAATGTCAATATAACCTTGATTGAGTGAAATAAATAATATGTAAAAGAATATTTTATATCACTTTGAATTAAATTTATTACTTGAAAAAAACGATAATCCTTAAACTCGTTATTTTCTTCTTTATTGCTTATTAATTCAAGTATAACCACACACGTAGTGACTAAAGATACATACGGAGTGACTAAAGAAGAACACGAGAAAATTGAAAATGATGTATCTGAAATATATGTTGTATATTTGCGTGGATATACACCATATACCGAGACATATTGGCCAAAAATATTGGTACATGAGGCACGATGACTCAATTTTCGTCTGCATTGCCGCAAAAAAAAAGTAAAATGCAATCACAAACATATAAATGAAACTGATCTCAATATTTTAATACATAATAAAAAAAAATAATTTGCATGCATTTTGAATGACTATTTCATTAATATTTTCTTTTTTGAATTTTAATATAATTTGAATTGTATAATATTTGATGTATAATTATGAATTATGATAAGAATTGGAAGATAAATTCATGATATAACATTAAGATGTTTCGAACCTTTAAGTAATGTCAAATATTCATATATATACTTCATTGAATAAATGCCCATGTTTCTCGATTCGCACGGAAATGAAATTTCAATGAAAAAATTTATTAATAGACACTTACCAACTGTTGTAGATTATATCAGTTAAAATATGTTGAACGACTCTTCAATTTCTGTTTTTCACTTTTAAATTTCACAATGCACTTCACAACTTATGAGCTTAATAAGTTCAATTTTTTTTAACACTATCAGACAAACAGAAAACAAAATCTCTTTTATATCAACGAAAATAAACACATAATCACTTGCACAATAAATTTAAATTTATAATGACTTTACCGGTTGTCACTTCACGAAAAATTGACAAATCAAACGTTTCTTAATTCGACGCATAAATGGATATTATCGGGAACATTGATTGGAAGCACCATTAAACAGATTTTGCGCAACGAACAAATTATCATCGATTAAGTCGATCATCAACAAATAAAAACTACCGAAGTTCGATTGACGAATAAGGAAACACCGGTTCTAATACACATTTGTCGCAAGATAATAAGCAACGCGTAATAGTGTTTACGTTTACAATCTTAGATCGTGCCGTTATTGATACGTTCTTGTTATAATCCGTTTGAACAGCCATTCGCTTGTTAATGTTATCAACAAAAATTCGCAAAAACCAAGGGAAATAACATCGAAAGATTCGTATTACAACCGTTAAACTAAACACCCGTGTGAACTCTCCTTCGATGTTACGTTACATTTCGCACGTACGACTTTTCTGCGACGATTCGCGCGCGCAACAAAACAGTTTTAATCGAACGTGATTCTAGGTTAAGAACGGGCCATGATTCATGCACAATTTCGATAATAACTCGTGATTTCAAAGAATCGCGGGCATTGATCATTAAGTTGGTAAGTGAATACGAAGTGAACAACTTTCAAGCACGTGCTACCGTACGCGTTGCGGTACAAAAACCTTCTGAGGCGCAAGTCCCGCCAGCATTGGCTACCTACGTACTTCGGAATATACGCGCCATATTAAATACACGACCTAAAGTCGACATCTAGTGTGGATACCGTGAATTATTACGAAATATTTTATCTCTTGAGATAATTCTCCAATTTTATAAAGCATATTATTTAATAAAACATATTTTATAATAAAATATATTGAATATATGTTTATCTAAATGTTGAAGAAATTGCAAATGCATAGATATGATATAATATATAGTTATGATATAATATAAGAAAAAAATAAAATGTGTATACAATTTAATAATTTAATGCATTTAATATTCTAACAAAAAAGATACTTTTTTTGTTATTAGTAGTTTTATATTTATCTGAATATTGATTATATATGACATGCATCGCAATATTTTGTGATAAATAAAAAATAAAGAAAAATAAAAAATAATAAATTATATATACATTATTTTTCAGCTATCAGATACAAATATTTTTTAATTATTTTGAATATACTATATTTATTAATACTTTATATAAAATTAACAATAATCAGATACTCGATTTTAAATCTATCTAAATATAAAATATATTTGTACTTACCTTGTGAAGTTGATTGAGATTGATGTTGGACTGCAGTCCTCTGAAACAGAAATACGTGTTTATTTTAACCAGACCCTGAAATAGCATAAACGTTAATAATACATCTAAATGAATATATGTATTCATTGCAATGATGATTATTGTTAAAACCATTGTCGCCAAAAAATAGGAAAAATTATATCATATAAAAAAAAAAATAAATTGCAAGTACGTTTTGAATAATCAGTCGTATCCCTGATGCCTCGAGACTCTTCGAATCTAAAGAACGACTTCTTGGTTTTGCTCCAAAGTAATCATCCTTCTTTCCACTCTTTATCCATCGAAAATATGAAGACATATTGTTTTTTTTTTTTTTTTTTTAATTTATTACACTGTCACAGTATCACAGTATCACATAATCACATAATTTCAATTTTGACGATATAAAATTTTTTTTTCACCACATTTCTGTATAACATCAAAGATATCAAAAATAAATTATCTTTATGAAAAATAATATTACTATTTTTTTATAATGAAAAAAAATTGGAAAAAAAATATAATCATCAGAAGAATTATTTTTAAAAAAAATAGAAAAAAAACTCAGTTATTAATCAATTTTATAAACTATAAAAAGTTATGTGAACAATGATAATATTAATATTAAAAGATCAAAAAAATGGTATTTGTGGAAATATTATTATTAATAATAATAATTATATTAAATTAGAAATGGAAAAATATTTTATTCATGAATAATCATGCACAAAAGAAATGCACATTTTCTTTTTAATATAATTCAACACTTTCTGTTAATAAAATCATTTTATTATATATTGTAATTGTAATTAATTCACAATGTTATATAAAATATCCATTTTTATCAAGACAGTAATTTTTAAATAACATGCATTATATATGAATTAACATTATATTTTTTTTAAATTGAATAATTTATTTAATTTGTCTTGATTAAAATCTTATATTTTTTTTTTCAAATGAATAATCATTATAATTATATTGCTTATTGTTATATCATAATCAAAATGTAAAATTATCTCATATATTAATTCTACAAATTTGTCATTCAATTGAAATGATTTCATAAACTTGTTTAAGAATAAATATTTTAAACCAATACAATAAAAATTAAATAATCTAATATAACAACATGTATTAAAAACAGTGCAACAACAATTGTAAACAAAAGATATTATTACGACATCAAACGAATCTTAATAATATTATTATCATGGTTAAATTTATTTACTATGTATTTAAAGATCAATTATTTATTTATTCATTATCATAGGATTCTAAAGATCAAAACAAGTAGAAAAATAATATGCAAAAATATCGATTGAAGTTCATTTACTAAGCAATTTAGATTTTCGTTAGATGAAGCGAGACGAAGTTAATGCGTGACCTTGATGTGACGAGGGCAGAACTATCCCACTCTATGTCGCTCCATCTAACGCTATCTTAAATTGTTTATAAATTAATAAGTAAGTCTCGATTAAGATTTATTTCAAATACATGAATATATTAATATTCATTAACTTATAAATAAATATATATATATATATATATCACTTTTTTAATATTTAACTATATTATTATTTATAATAATAAAATAGTAATTCATGTATTATCAATTATAAATGATTCACTTTCCTTGTGTAATTTTCTGAAATTATTAATTATAATGTGTAGAACTTCAATCTTTTAGTTAATACACAATTTATACAGAAAACATTTATTTTTTAAATTTTAAGATAAAAATTATCATTTCAATTGATCTATCTTTTTGAAAATAGACTGAATTGGATTTTCACATTGTTGAATGATAAAATATTGTCAAGTGGAATATAGTCAATGTAATAGTCAATGTTAAATAATGATAAAATAAAAAATGCTAAAAACGTAATGAAAAAAACATTATTCCTGTCGCATTTATTAACATCGTACGATTATTGGAATACGTAAATATCATATATCAATGATATCAACGAAAGAAAAAGTATAACTTACCTTTAAAAAACATTTACATTTTTAAAATTGAAATAATTAAATTTATTTTTTATTTAATATTTTATTTTACCATTGCAACAATTTTTAACTTAACTTTTGTTGTAACAATTCTTTTTTTTTTTTATCTTTCGTGATAAGAGAAAGATATTGGAAGAATATCGTTATGACAGGTAAGAAAAATCCAGTTTATGTAGACATAATGTAAAAAAATATAACATAAAATATGAAAAAAAAAAAAAATAAGAAAAAAAAAATTATTCGATGGAACATTCCAATGTTATGCAAATGAAACCTTCAACATCGTATACAATCGTCACAATTTGCACAGGTTATCGCTTTCATAAGGCAGCCAACGTAAAAGAAGAAGAAAAAAAAAAGAAAAGAAGAAGATATGCACGGCATAGTTTACATTGGAGACAATGAATCTAGGTCGTTCGCGAGAGCGAGAGCGAGAGCGAGAGCGAGAGCGAGAGCGAGAGAGAGAGAGAGAGAGAGAGAGAGAGAGAGAGAGAGAGAGAGAGAGAGAGAGAGAGAGAGAGAGAGAGAGAGAGAGAGAGAGGAGTCAAAAAATTTCCAGAAACTTGCTGCAAAGAATATAATTTCAATATGAGAAATAAAAGAAAAAAAAATAAAAATAATTTCTATTCGATCATATTATATTTCAACATATATTAAAATAAAAAGTAATATATACAATTCAATTATATAAGAACATATTTTTATATTCAATTATTTTTTAATGAAATTATTTTTTTCGTTTTTATCATGATCATATACAAATGCGATTATAAATAATATATAAAAGGTGTACTTTGTGCAGCCAAGGCAAATATTAACGTTGCACATCTAATCGAGGCATAAAGAATACTATTGTGACGAAAATTATTATGAAACCGTTTAAGCCAAGAATACGAACGAAAAAGTAGAATATTGTTCGAGTATTATACGTTGCGAAGTTCTCTTGGATCGTATAAGAAAATAAAGCGAGAGAGCGAAAAGAAGTAGCATAAAACTGCTACCTTTCAATTTAGAAAAACCGAACAATAGAGAAAAGGCTTCGTCGATGAACTCGAGACATCTTCCGACATGACCGTAAGTCAACTCACTCTACAGCTTTTGTATTTAAGAAAATATATATTTTTTCGACTATACTAAATTTTTTTTTTTTTTGTTTAATATGTATAAGTGACTAGATGGAAGTCACATGACTTTGATATTTTAGTAACAAAAAGATTGTTATTTTTCTACGCAATTTAAATAAATAATATCTATTGCAAATAATTTTGAGATACATACATGTATATATTATAAATAGACAAGTGTTTCTCAATTCATAGATTATGAAATGAGAAATATTCGAATCAAAATATATCTATTTAAAAAAAAAAAAATGATAATTTTAATTATCTATATAATGTATAATAACTGTACAATTTATTAGATTTTCAAATTTTAAATTTTATACTATTAATATTTGAATCATATGATGTATATCATGTGACGAAAAAATTGAGAAATGCTGTTATACAGTATAATATGTTTAAGTTTGGAATATCAATCGTGTGTTTAAACGCGTAGAATACCGCAGCGTCATTACAATTCTGAAATAATCGCTGGAAGTAACATCTTTAATCAAGAAAATCTTTGATATCAAGTAGAAGAAGAAAATGTCATTGTGTAGAAAAAATAAGAAAGATTAAACTTTTACTAAACACAATATTTTCTAATTAATTCTATAACTTCATTAATAATCTCTATTTATCATCTATTTTCCGCTAGAAAATTCTACATACATCGTAATAAAATCGAACAATATGAACACCGATTATTTTGAGATATTTATATCATTTGACAAATAAAAAAACCGAATACTGAATCTTAAACAATTAAAATTTAATTATTCCATCTTCATTCAACAATAATAGACAAGAAAATTACTTGTAATTAATTATTAATTGATAATTATATTCTAATTTTTTAATTGATAATTATATTCAAACTTAGCAATTTTCTTACTTCGCCACTTGTTTTTCTATTACTAAAGAAAAAAAAAAATCATAATCAAAATCAAACATCGAATGTTAAATAATTAAAAGAATATGCATTAATATATCCTCACGATAATAACAAGAAATAAATTATTACTTCATTCTTTAATTGACAAAAATTACCAATTATCACTATATACTACCAACCTATTTTCCTATTAAATAAAACCACAATGATAAATATACTTTTCGATTTAATAGAAATAGAATTAATTATTGTATAATAAAACTGACGTTAAGAATGTTAACATTTGAATCACCGCACTGTTAATAATTCTTCATGGAACTTGAAAAATAGGATTTCGATGGACGAAATGAACGAATCAGTTGTAAAGAGTTGTAAAGAGAGCGCGCACGATTCGACAAATAGAAGTGCGAGCACGTTTCCCTAGCACCTTGAACGTCGCAAGTTCCGTAGCTCACTGAGTGAAAAACGCACGTCTTGAATCTGTCTTTTTCTCCGCTCTTTGCTCGCATACGTCATACATGCTTAGGTCGGTGCCGTTTACATGTGCACCACTTACATAAAAACGTGACTCCCACCAAAATTCGTAACGTCATAATTTCAAACCACCTGTGCGTTTAACGAATTCTATTTATCGAATCGTAGTTAGTGAGAAATTCTAATTCGAAAGAATAATGATATTAATAATAACATGACAGAACATATTAGAAAAGATACGTTTTATCAATAAGAAATGCTATAATTTAAATGAGATACTTTGAACTATTTATTAGGTTATCTTATAAATAACACGTTTTATTAATTTAATTTAAATGTGATTTAAATTATAAAGAATTATTTATATTATATTATATATTTATATATAATATTATTATATTATATATATATATATTTAATAAAATTTTAACGTATAATATAAGTTATGTTGATTGTATATAATTCATATGAAAAATTGGATAAGTAATGTATGATTATGATAAACAAACGAGCGGCAATCTGTCAAAAGATTCTTTTTCAATGTTACGATACTCGGTTATATAAAGTGTTAACATATTCGTGCGACAACTTGGAGGATCAATTCTAGAGGTCAAAACAAACATAAAAACTAATATACAAAAATGTCGGTCGAGGATTATTATATATGTAAGCAATTGAAATTTGTATTAGATCAGATAGAATGATACAACTTTATTATCGTATCGCTTTGTCTTGCTTCATTTAATGCAAATTTAAATTGCTTATAATCAAATAAATAAGCCTCAATTAACATTTTATTTACTTTTATATTTATTTTGACTTCTAAAATCGATTCTGCAAATATATTAACTATATATTATAGAAGCAATGATAAAATGAAGTAAATAGATTATAGAATAAATAATTGATATTATTATTGCCTTATTTAAAAATTTATCAATTTTTTCCAGGTTTTATGTTTAAAAATTCAAGAAATATAAATATTACTTTTTTAAAAAATATATATATTATATACATATTAACATTTAAAATAAAATTGATTATAAAAAATTGCATTTTAATGTATTCATTAGAATGAAGGATTTTAGAAAAAATAGATAAATAATCAATATTTATAAATCTAACATCGATATATACATATTTATAATATTCTTTTAACGATTAATTAACGAATCATTATTTATTATTTATTATTTAAAAATAATAAATAAAATATAAATAAAATATTATTTATAAATAAAATATAACAAATCATTATATATATATTTATTTTTTTCACTTTTCATTTGGTATTTGATTTGATTGAATTAATGAATTAACTTTTCAAGTGGCAAAATTTTTGAAAATTAAAAGTTAACATTTAAAACATTATTTAAAAAGATGAAATATCTTTGGAAAAGAGAAAGTAAAAATTTGTTCACTAAAATTAATCATCGAAACGATATTACTTATGAGATGACCTATTATATTTCAACATTGTCAACTGCGTAAAAAATAGATTTCCTAATAGCGCAAAGAGTTTATCTGTTAAATTATTAACAGATATCTCTTAAATTATTTTTCCTATGATATTTCAAAATAAACTAAATTTAGCTTACATGAGAGAATTAAAATCAATTGATAAAAATATAAATTATTCGTTCCAAAAATTTATGTGAAAATAAAATGAATTAATGAATTAATTAATCTTAAGTTTCATAAAATTCGAATGAAAACATTTTCTGTACTCGATTACATTTAAAATTTTATTTCAACATATATAATTTTGAAGTTTCACATGATGTCCTTTAAAATATTACCTTTTAAATAAATTTGAGAATTTCTTCGTTATATTTTTCAAGGATAAAATTGAATCTCGTATGCTTTTTTTTTTAAATAATGGCGTTACAAGAAAAATAATAAAAATTTCAATTTTCTCAAAAAATTTTAATTTTAAAGAGAGTAAGAGAATAAATTTCCAAGAACGAAGTAACGAAACTGTTACGGTATTGTGATCGGTAGGAGAAACGAAACTGGTTTCAGCACTAACGAGTCATGTGACATATGACCAAGAACGTTGAAACGCGAAAGAGAATTTCGTTGGAAAATATTCAGATAAAAATCGTTTTATGGTTAAATCATAAAAAAAAATATAAAAATAAAAAAGAATTACAAATAAAACATTGCATCGAAGTCAAAAATAACTAGAGATAATTCAATCAATGAATGTATAATTGTTTGTTTAATTATTAGATAAAATATATGTTTAAATAAATGAAATTTAGAATAAATTGATTAAAAGATTAATGTATAATTTTAAAGATAAATAGGCAGGATTTAAAAATCTTCAAAATTTGCAAGTTTTACTAAGGTTTATCGACATAACAAAAAAATTGAAAATTATACTTATTCAAATAAACAACGATGAAGAATGAATTGATGAATGTTTCAACAAATTATTTACAACTTCATTACAAGAATCTCTTCCATATAAAATTATATTTTTTTTTATACCGTTATCGCAACATATATATAAATAAAATATAATGATTCGTTTTTTTATTTAAATTAATATTCTTGCATATCGTGATAAAATAGGAATAATAGATAATAAGATACGATAAAATATAGGAATAATAAGATACGATAGTATATAATAACATGTCTGATGAGCAAAAATTAATATTAAAATAATTGCAAAAATAACAAAAAAAAAATATTTTTCTAATATAGTCGAAAAAAAAATAAAGACACATCATTAACATTCTTTTGTTCGCTGAAATATTGTTAAGACAAATCAAACAGTAGTTGTTCGTTTTTAAAAGTCACGCTTTATCAAGAAGAGAAACATTGAAACGAATTGCAATTTTCTCTGTTTGGAACTCGGGCAGAAATGAGCATAGTCATATAAGAGTTCGCCCTAATTTTTTAGTTTTCTCATCCAAAGTTTTCTTATACGATGTATCAATAATTAATCTCGAGATAATTTGAAGTAAAATAATGCAAGGTAAAAAAATTGAATAAATTTTTTAGTATTATAACTGAAATATTAAATGTTTGTAAATCATACTTTGTATTCTTTATTAACAGAATGCAAAATAAATTAATAAAATTATTATATTTATTATATAAAACTTTAAGCGTTAAATCAATTGTATTATGTATTTAATAGCAGATGAGGTTACGAAATAAACTTGCATTTATGAAGCTTTTACCATTTGAATATAGTTTTCAACTTTAACGATTCAGCAGAGAATACAATTACAGAGCATGAGAAGTGGTGAAAATTAAAACTAAATGTAAATGTATAAATGAAATTTCTGATCTTTTACACGATCGGTAATTCAGAATGTGATATCTCAACGACGAAGTCCCATAAAATAATACATCTATTTATTTATTTATAAATATAATTGTTATTCGGATTTTATTCTTTTATTCTTATAAGATCATGTCCCGTATAACTATGCATAAATAATTTATTTTATATTTCATCTTTGTTGAAAAATAATTATAAACTTGTATTATTCATGATAAAGTAGGAAACTATTTTAAATACTAAGTCGGTTATTATATTCATAATAAACATCATTGCAATATTATGACAAAAAGAAAAAAATAATGAACCTTGTATAATAGGATAAATCGCTTACCGCTTTTCGTTTGTCATCTGCACTAAGGGTACTGTGACTTCTGTGTCTAATAAGATCCATAACTTTACTAACAGGATTTCTGCTACTTTCTGAACCTGCTCGAGGACGTCCCATAGGTTCTTTACCTTCCTTATGATCCTTGCCATCTCTATGATGATCCCTATCTGTACGTATATCTGTCGTTGAACTTCCGTGTGAGCCTCTGTGCAAAGAATGCTGCAAGATATCCAATGGTATTACATTAATATAATATAATTTTTTATTGATTTTTTGATACAAATAACTCGAAATCGTCTCAATTGGCTATTATAATTAATTATTTTCTTATATATATATATTATCATTTTACATATATAAATCATTTTACTTCTTTTATCATTTCATCATTATCTGTCATACAAATTTTACGTCATTATGAAATCTTTTAACAACTGTTATGTCTATCATATTCCCTATATATGTATATATATATATATATTGTATTATAAATTTAAATATTTTATATATATATATCATTTCATAATATGAGAAATTATACATTCTATTCTTTCCTACTAATCAACTCATTCTTCTTTACGAAAATTATTATTATACCTGCATAGCGCTTTTCATATTCGCTATAATACTGGGCTTTCGTTTGCTAGCATCAGATTTACTCCTTGGTCTAAACGCATCAAAGAGTGCTGGTTTTTTGGTAGGGCTGGCTGTGTCATCAACAGTTCCACCGCTTCTTCTGCGTTCTGCGCTATTACTACGGCTATTACTACGACTGGTGGAGCCAGATCGCGTGCCAGAAACTTTCTTGCCTTTACTTGATGAACTTGAAGGCTCCACTTGCTGCGGGAGAGGAGTCGATTTTCCAGAACCAGGAGCACTGCCCGAGGTGGGTTTCCTGATAGTTCTAGAATGCGAACCCCAGGTCCCTGTCGTAACGATTGAAAACATTATATATATGTAAATAACATTAGAAATAAAAAAAAAATTTAACCATGTTATTCAATTAAATGATAATATAATCATTTTACCTGCTCGCGGCCTGTGACCTTGATCGTGAGACGCTTGACCCGAAGTATCTGCATCTTCGGTTACGATCGTTGGTAATGGTTGCGATCCAAGTTCCTGTAAAAATCATTATAATAATTATTATATATATAAAATATATTTATATGTAAATATAAAAAATATATAAAAAATATAAAAAATAATTATATAATTGTATAAAAATATATAAAACATATAAAAAATAATTATTTTAAATTACATTTTATGCAATATTGGAATTTCAATTTATATAAATTTTTAATTGTCATTATACAAAATTTATTATACTATTAATTTATATTATTCTTATTTCAATTATCAGAATTTGTTATTATTTTGATTTCGATTTATTTATAATTTATTATTTATAATTTATCATTCTAAATTATAACACATGACACGATATTATGAATAATATTTTTCCGGAAAAAAATCTTATCGGTTACTGAAGAAAAATTATTCATTCACTATTGATTTCGATACTTTGAAAAATTAATAGACAAAAAGTTGTAATAAACTTCTAACGAAACTAAAACTTTACAATAGGATAATAAGATTAGATATGATTATTTAATCAACAAAGCTTAGATGATACAACGTTTTATATTTAGCTCAAAAGCGATTATCATTGATCGTTTTTTTTTTTTTGCAAAATGTCTTAGAAAAAGGGATTTTGACATGTTCATATGTTTTCTCGATCATAACAAATATCATTCGAGTTATCGTTGTTGAAAAAAATGAATGTTTATCACGAATAACCGTGAATTCGTTAATTTCGCATCATTAATCTTGATATTTATCATATTACACTTGACAATACATTATAAAATTTATATTAATAAAATTACAAGGAATAATCAACAAAACAGAACACGTACCGAGATAGCAAATTGATTATGAATCTATAAAAAGATAAACATAACCTAAAAGTTATTGTATCCAAATCTGATACAACCAGCTGGTTCTTCTAATTTTCCGGCTATTTTACTGCCATGAAAAAGTACGTAAAAGTAAACAATCTTAGGATACTCCAATAAATTAAAAATTTCAATTTGTTTTTATAATAGAAATTCTAGAGATTTGTATATTTTTCTCTTACGTACGTCTACAACATTTTTAGCATTTAACGCCATTGAAATTCATTGAAAAATTAGAGTAAAATTTTAATCATTTAATTCTCGGAATATGAGTCGCGGAATGACAGAAGAGATTCGTGCCAAGTAAATCCAAACTTATCTAATTTTTGAATGGCGAAGATTATATATAATATTACCATCCGATGTATTATTTATAATTCTTATATTAAATTTTATTTGATTTCAAACGCAAGAAAAGATAAAATGTCATAATTAGTAGAATTGAAAATTTATTTATCGAAACTTGAATTCGTTCGTGAATAATCTACCAATCCAAATGATGCTTATATAGTATTAGTAGCGAACGAAATTCTTAGGATTTCAAATAATCTATTAAGCCAGAGAAATATTATTTTTCGTTTTTTACACAGCATTGCACAAATTCTTGGAATACTTCCAATTATATTGAACAATCAGTTGGAATACTTCCAATGAACAATCAAGATCTACTATATACGTATATATAAATGATCTAATGTTTTATACACGTAAGATCGTTTCTTATGGAAAATAATATAATCCTTGTTTTAATCATTATTGAAAATCTACGATTAATTATATTAGTTAAATATAAACTGAAAAAAAAAATGTAAATTTTATACAAAAGATTTAAAGATTCATATATGAACTAATTAAATACTTTCATTTATCAGAAATCATTATTTTTAAGTAAAACAAAAAATACATTACGTATATATCATTTATATTTTTCAATAAAAAATGAAATACATAATGCAGAAATATCGTTATCTATGATCATTATTACCATACGATAATCTAGTATTTACATATATCTTATATTTTCATTTATTATGATTATTAACCAGTCACGTAAGAAATATTAGCTACTTAATATAAAAACAGAATAAAAAAAAAAAACACGCTATTTTTTATATTTTATATCGTCTAAAAAAATTAAAATAATTTCCATTAATAATAAAATTATAAAATAAATAAAACTATATCTTTTCTAAAAAAAAAAAAAAAATAAGTACATACACACGCGATTAATCATATTCTCTATATTATTATTATTCTCTATATTAATACTCTTCAAATTAATAATCTCTTTTCATACCCTTCTGGCATGATTTGGCATCAAATCATTGAGCAAACTCTCAGCAGTCTCTTGAAGATTTCGCAAAACAAAAACTTTGAAAATCATTTCATGTTAAGATGGCAAACATGCACAAATATTTATTTTACTTCACCATATTACAAACGTTTGTCGTCCAACTTGCGCGACATAACCTCTTCTCTCCTTGACTGAATTATATTTTTCTTTTTAATTTATCGGCCCGTATTAAATCGTACGATGCCAAGACGTTTCGTAGAAACACACGGCCACGAAGAAACCGTATAAATTCGATCGATCGTTACCATTCGTACAATTGTATTCACTCTCGACATAAATTCTAATCCTATCCTCGATCGATCTGAGACACCATCCGTGTTAAGAGATTTTACACGTATCCCCCAATTCTTTTTATTTTCGCACATTTAAGTGATTTTCTTACTCGTTTCTTTTTGCGAATTGAATATTTGTAAGCACATGTTAATATCTATTAATTAATTATTAAATAAAATTGTTTTAATATCGTCATTTATGATTTTATATCGCTCAATAATATGCTATTGATAACCTCAAAAGATTTAAAAGTATCATAATTTTTTTCAACTGTAATAATACTTTTCTTTAAAGTCTATGACATCCATATATCTATAATGATTATTATTATTGGCATGTGTCATAAGCAAGAAGATAGTTAAATATTTCATTTGTATACAAGGTAACAAATTAAGAGATACGATAGTGTCTGAATAAATAATGTGTGTAACTGTATATACAAATAGTACTTCCGTATCGTGTACGCTATACAGAGTGTCCAATTCGAATCTTTATGCAATTATCTTCCGAATATATATATTTTCAATATTTCAAATTTTTTAAATCTATAAAAATAATTGTAAAAGTTATATAAATCGAATATCAAATTATATATAATTATATCACCAAGATATAATTTTCTTTATATATACAAAATGATGATAAATATAACATAACATTAGAAAGTTACATAATTATTTAACAATATTTAATATATTTTTTGGAAAAATAAAACTCTTGATGATAAATACAAAATTTTCAAATATAATTATAGATGATTATTATCTTGAAACGATGAAGTGTGATTCTGACATCATAGTATAAAAAAAAAATAAAGAGATTTAATGACCATAACAAAAGCATGCTTAAAAAATTATCTCGCGCTCTTTGAGATAAAAATTTGTAAAGAAAAATATAGAACTCGATCGAGACAAGGTGAAAAAGGAAGATAAAAGATTCATCAGAGATAAAAATAAAATACTTATGGCGCCAGAATGAAATAAAAAAAAAAAAAACAAAATCAATGAAAACATAAAATTCCAACAGGATAAAAGGAACTACAGTAAAATTAAACAAAACAAAATACATATGTTGTATGACACAGGAATACGAAATGATAGTTCAATTTTCTATCACATAACCTTTCGTGTAATTTATACATCCGTTATTAGTTTCATCGAACGAACAAGTGTACATTCATGTAAATCGTGATTCGTTTCATTCGCTATGCCGAGCTCGACTGCCGTTTTGAATTAACGTTGCCTAGATCTAACGTCTAGATAGAAGACCATGTGAATCACATGATACAATAACGATTGTTATGAAATCAGAAGTAAATCAAAATTGATGCTAGAAATAATGAGAAAATCGATCAATATTTTGTAATATTTTAAAAAACTTTTGAATTTTAAAGAAAAAATAGATTTATATTTAGATATACATACGTTAGATATACATATGTTTTGTGTATTTATTAAAAATGGAAATCAGAATGATTCGAAATTCAAAAAGAAAATATTGAAAGAAAGCCATTTTGATAACTTTATTATTGATATGAAATAATACAACAACTATGAAGAGCATTTCAAAAGAACCAAAATTGTTTTCAAGGATGAGTAAAACATTGGCATTGGTGCATAGCTTTCCAAGTATATACTTCAAAGGTGGCTACATTCAAGAATGAGGTACTTACATAGTAATTTTATCGCAAAGAGTTGGCGAACTTTATTGTTAAACCACGTGCACATTGCTGAATCGTTCGATACCGGGAACAAGGACGTACTTACAGCTTCCAGAAGGACGGATACAAGATGCCAACGAAAATAAACAACAAAGGATGCGAGTTGGAACTCTTTGGAAAAATAAAGAATGACTTGGCTAGTTTGAAAATTTATGTCAGAACTGTATCAGATTGTAAGTAAAATTAATTGCACCATAAAATACAACATATATAACATACATTTTTACATACATTTATTACTGAGTTATTTGAAATTTAAATGATAAAATAAATTATAAGTTGAAATAATAAAAATAAAGAATGATAAATAGTAAAACTGAATAAAATAATTTATTTCAGTTTGTTATAATATATAAAGATACTTACATTTTTTATTTTTTATTTTACATAAAAAAATTCAAATGTAATTTTCTTAATCTTGATGCAATTTGCTAGTTAATTATTTGAACAATTATAGAAACAGATAAGATTAATAAATATCTTAATTAACACAAGAGATCTTTGTTAATATAATTTGTAAATATGTAATTTCTTGTAAGAAAAAAAACTGTTAATTTTAAGAAATATTTAAAAGCAAATAAAAAAAATATTTCTTAAATATTTTAAGAAATATAAAACTTAACTTTAAAAATATTGCTATTAATTAGTGAAAAGAAATAATATTCAGAAATAGAATGACTCAAATGTTAATTCTTTTTAATCACATTTTTTTTAAATGAACGAATGAATGAATATATTACATTTTATATGAATTATTCTAATGAATTAACATTAAAAAAAAAATATTTATTTTTGAATGACAAACATTCGTTAA